CAAATTCTCCATTCAACATTTCAACATATTTTTGAGTGCCAGTAGCTTAAAAATAAATCAAGAAGGGGAGGGAAGATCATTCTAGCCCAAGGAATTGAAAGGCATAAAGTTCTGTAAGTATATCCACTCATGAGCAGAAAAAGACAGAACTACATTCTCCAAAATTTGACATAATTCCACAATCATCCCGGCAAAGTAAATACTACAAGTTACGTGGGCAACAGAAAATAAATTTGATGAATGACAATTATTTACATTGCATCAAATATACTGATTCAAAAAATTTAATCATTCCTGAGAGGCTAAATGACCAGGTTCCCCAGACAGTTCACTTGAAAGCTTGTAAAAAGCTTTTCAGGGTCAAGAGTGGCCAAAGCATTTGWAAGACAATTTATTCAAACTATTAGATTGAGAAAATGTTGTGTAATCCTACAGAATTATTCTGCTCAATTTAAAATAGTCCAGGCCTTCTCATCTACAGGGTAAGGCTTTTTAAAAAAAAACAAAGTACAAAAAAGTAATTTTCAAAATTAATGATTAAAAGTGAAACAAATTGTTACTGAAATTATTAGCTGAATATTGTACCAATTGCAATCTGAAATTAAGTAATCAATACTATCTTAACATTGCCTATCTTATACTAGCAGTCTCATCAGATACCATATGATTTAGAAGACTGTTGAACTAATTGACTTACCATACCTGTCAACATTAACTCAATAGCATTCCAAAGTAATAATCAGTATCAATCTAATTATATCAGCAGTCTCCTGTAAATGMGTACAAATTATTTTAATTAAAATATTAAATATTTAGAAAATAGATAGGAACTTATATTAATAATTTATATGCTTAATTTGAATCTACCTGAACAAGTATAATTCCTGAACAACAAAGCTTACTTTCTTGGTATCCCCCTTTAATATTTTCCAGCAGGTTTCCCAACATAAACTAGCAATCCAATACCAATGACAGGAAAACCACAATATTTATATTCTTCTACCTTTCTATAAATACATATAGACTTGCAGTCGTACCCACTTAAAAATACTCTTTCAAGAATATTCAATGGATAGTTTCCCTATAAATGCAAATRGGTCAGCTTAGGTTTTCTACAAAACTACATTAGCAATCTACATGGTCGGCTCGAATATTAAATCCCTCAATTCCTRAGCATTCTAAACAAGCAGATCCCTTCTCATCTCCTTTACAGGAAAACATGAACAATTCACCTACTACAGCAATATCATTTCTGACCTTTTTAACCTCTTTTCTCCCTCTTTTATTTTTAAAGCTGATCTTGGAAATCTCCCTACAGGTTTTCCACCACCTTTCACAAGAAATAWAGGAAATCAGTTTGTGAGACACAATCACAGCATCATYCAGACTGGAAAAGACCATGGTCATGAAGTCCAACCTTTGATCGAACACAGCTTGTCCACCCAGCACACAGCTTTAAGTACCACATCCGGTCTTTTCCTGAACACTTCCACGGATAGTGACTCCACCATCTCCCTGAGSAGTCTGTTCTTAACAATGACTTTYGTGAAGAAATACCTTCAGGTCCAACCTGAACCTCCCCATGGCACAACCCAAGGCTCTGTTCTCTCACCCCATCACTAGCTGCTGGGACAAGAGGCCACCTCCCAGTATCCACTGGGATACAACCTTGAATCAAATATGCCCAGTTCCCTTGAACCAGCATAATTTAAATAGAAATGGGAATTGGGACGGGGGGGGGAGTGGAGCAGAAATAATTTCAAGCAACCATAATGTGATTAAAATGCCAGGCCTGTTTTCTAAACAATTCACTAATATGAATCAAATTGGAGGACAAAAAAAGCACACCACCAACTACGAACCAGTATATTCAATCACACCCAAAAGGTTCTGACTACCCAAAAACAGCCTGAAGAGTTTTAACAATAGTCAAGTAGTTTCATGTTAAAAWAAGACATCCTCGGAAATTTTCATTCGACAAGCATTTGGGATTACTTATTAACATTACATTTCATATTGAAATCCTCATTCAAAGTCAAGAAACATCACTGCAATCATCATATTCATAATCTTCATCCTCTGATGAATATACATTAAGATATACTATTTTAATATAAAATTAAGAATATTAATTTTCTGTAACATGAGGCATCATGCCACCAGCTGCCTTGCCCTGCATGCAATAGAAGGCATGAGGAAAKAAATTTCCAGATGGAAGTTGAATATTAACAACACTAAAGTGCATACAGCACTTTAGCCTAACGAACAAGCAAATTGGGAAGAAAAATTTTGGAAAGGCAACATGCCAAAACACTGTTACCAGAGGTGTAACTACGCATTTTTCCAAAAAAAGGAAACTTAAACTTAACAGGAAATTTAAACAACCAGTTTGTATTAATGTTGTAGTGATTTGTTTAGATGGATTTTTCTGTTTGGTTTGTTTGTGTTTTGTTTTATAAAATTAGAGGCAAGAAGTACAGTTACGGCTCATGTACATGAAGCAGCACCATATTTCAGCTTACTCATGGCTACCTGGGTGACTCTTAGGCCCTTCCAGAGCCAGGCACTTCAGAGCTATGCTGGTGTGTTCCCCAAGAACTGCCCTGGAGCTTCCAGCCTATTTCTTGGCAAAAGACTGTCCTGCTGCCCAGAACGGCGCAAAGAAAAAAGCACAAGAGAAACAAGTGATGCACAATACAACTGCTCACCACCTGCTGACCGATGCCCTGCCCACTGCCAAGAGTGATCAACTCCTCATGGCCAACTGCCCACAGTTTATATACTGAATATACTACATGTTGCATGGTATGGAATATCCATTTGGCCAGTCTAGGTCAGCTGTCCTGGCTATACTCCCTCCCAGCTTCCTGCGCATCTTTTCACTGTCAGAGAATGGGGATCTGAAAAACACTTGATTCAGAGTAAGCACACTTAGGAACAGCTAAACCGTGTATTACCAATTTTACTCTCATACTAAATCCAAAACATGACACTGAACAAGCTACTACRAAGAAAATTAACTCTATCTTAGCCAAAACCAGGACCAAGGACTGACTCCAACATGAATCAGCGCCTAACTAGAGCCTGGAGTTACCTAAACCCAGTTTTTCTGAAGTCTACCTGCTTAAATTATCTAGTTCAAGTCTTCACGGGGCTGCGAACCACAGTATAACATAAGATGCAAAGGGAGTCTCACAGGCCAAAAATGTGAAAGTCTGATTTGAATTCCACACTTGAAATAGATTATTATTTGGGTGAGAAAAAGATCCCAGAACAAAACAAAAATTAAATGAGAAGAGATGTGTTAACTATGTGCTAATATCTCCCAGCATCTTGTTAGAAGACAGACATATTTGCAAAGTTCTTTATACTCACACACTCAAAACAGTTATTAAATTAGTTTCCTTTTCTTGAACATATCATAGTTAATAGCACTAAATGTCAGGTTTCAAAATYCAACTTCTGTTACTGGTAGTCTAATTTTTGTCACATTTTTCCCTATAATCTACTTTTAAAACATTTCAAAACTGAGAAATATTTTCACTATTTGTTAATTTCACTTTAAAAAATGGCTAAAGATACTTCAGTGTAAACACTACAATGTAAACACTTACTTCCTTTTCTAAAATTATTTTAAGGAAGATTTAAGCACTGAAAATAGTAACCTGTAACTTGTCTTTTTAGCTCATGTTAAAATTGAAAGCAGCGATGCGGAAACATTTCAGCAGTATCAAGTAAACGGCAATTGAGAATTACAATAGCATCAGGCATTTGAGAGGTAGATACAAATTTCTCYCATTTGAGGATCTATCAGTTGGCAAGAGGCAATTAAAATACATTTACTCCTTTCCTCTGTAGAGCATACCAGGCATTTTTTTTTCCTGCTTGTTCCTGTTGCCCCAGCCCAAGTTACTTTAACCCACAAGATTTCAGCTATTGCAGGCAGAAGGGATGGGTCAGCTCTACCCAACTATCCTTCTGCTGGTAAACTGGGAGGCAATGGATGCTACCTGCGCTAACCACCTTCCACTGCAAAGCAGAATAAAATTTCCTTCCACAGGAGAGAAAATAGTTTTGAGATACAAAATTACTACAAAACCAGTGATTCAAGGAGCATGAAAATTTATGGGCAGCTTGTCTATAGATCTGTCTYTTGCAGTTGTGTTCACACTTTAATTGAAACTTCTCTGTGAAGTGTCTATACAACTGTCTGCCATGTCGACTTTCCGGGGATCTATTAATTCACTAACATCTGCTGGGGTCSCAGGCATGTAGAGAAAGCACTTTATGGCTCTCCCTCCTCTGCTGGTTGTGAAACTTGTTACAACCTCATYACTTGGGAGTGATCTGCTTTTCTGTCCTTGGTAAAATCAGGCACTAAATTCAGGGGAAGGGGTGTTAAGCAGAGAAGCAGTGTTCACCTAAGACTTGTTTTCTTAGCAAACACTGAAAAAACGTCACTCAAAAATGAAATGCAAGTTCACAGGGGAAGCTATTTACACCTTTGTATTTAAAAGATTATAATTATACAATTAGTTATATATGTAGTCATAAATATGCATATAGAGTTACATAATATATTATAGATCGCGTAGATAATTGTGTGTATTTTTTTATTTATAATTCAATAAAATTATATAATTGTCATTCTGTTACATATACCTGTGTATGCATAACTATAATTCAGTAAAATTATATAATTGTCATTCTGTTACATATACCTGTGTATGCATAACTATGATCACACCTATCTGAGGCAATGAAATGAGACCCATAAAAGGTAACCTGCCCAGAGACATGGAATCACAAGGCATTGTGCAGCTCTGTAAGGAGCTCGCCCTTTTAGGGAAGCATGCCCGAAGAGACAGATTTAACTGGGCTAGAAAAGCCCTGTGAGATGACCGAGTCCAACCTCTGAGCAGCTGCGCCGCCCGGCGCCCCTGACCTTGCCGGGCCTCGCCGGGCCCCGCGCTCCCGGCCGCGTCCTTGCGGGCACTTGCCTCCCATTCCCGCAGGAAGCGCTGGGCCTCGGCGGGCCCGGCCGCCCTGTGCCTCCGGAACTCCTCCTTGACGTAGCGGTCGCCCAGGTCGCGCAGGGCGGGCGGCAGCGCCCGGTGCAGCTGCAGGATGCGGCGGTACAGGCGGCGCGCTCCGCCCGCCATGGTGGCCCTGAGGGGCGGGCCGGACCGGGCGGGCTGAGGGGCCGGGAACCGTGCGGGGCGGGCCGGGCCGGGCCGGGCGGGCTGAGGGGCCGGGCCGCGTCTCTTCCGCGGGGCCGACCCAGCGCTCAGCGCGCCGTGATGGGGCCGGTCAGAGTCTGTGTCTTGCGAGCTGTCTTTAAAATGACACCCAGAAATGCGATTGAAAATAGTGCTTCTAAAAATGCGTGGAGGATGTTGTTTCAGAAGACGGRTGCGGATAGCAGGGATCACGATATGTAGATATAACTGTAGATGTAAAGAAAACAGTTCGGTTTTGGCTCCAGTTCACCACCAGAAGAACAAACTCTGCGCTTTGTACCAGGGTAGAATGTGGCACAGATTAACTAGTCCAATAAGGTCAAGCTTCATACACTTAGATTTTATTTACCTGCTTTTTGTCTGTAAGATGAGAGCAGCCACAGTAAGAAACCTTACTGCCTGGGACGTTGTGCCACCACGTTGTCACTACCAAGCTCYTGCTTTCTCCTACCGCCCATTTACAGCCCGAGATCCAGCTCTCCGTAAAGTTTTTTCAGCAGCTTAACATCACATCCAACCCGCCCACGTGGAAAAACGTTCAAATGTCAACAGTCACAGATACTACGGAAAAAGCAGAGTCAGGCAGTGGCAGCAGTGGCAAAAGTCCTGCCTCATTCTAGGCGGGTGTTAAGCTCCTTCCAGCCAGTCAAATTACTCATTATTCAAAAGAAAAAGGGAACATTTCTGTTGGCCCATGGAGCATTAAGCTTTACTAAAATACTAGGAAATTACACTAAAATGTACTGCCTCATCAAAAGCCTAAGTCATTATTTGAGAGCAAAAGAGTAAAGGGCAAAGTACAGACTATTTTACTGACTGCTGTTTCTTTATATTTATTTATTGTCCTAAGCACTTCACTGAGGAAAACKGAAGTTCCCAGTAACACAAAGTTACTGAAATAAAAGCAAGTTGTTAATGTTCACTTCTTCTCAGTGACAGTCTCCTGTCCTCTTCATGCCATAATGGTGTTGGAGTGAGCAGTCAGGTCCTGGCAGAGGTGGCCTGATCCTCAAAGCAATTGGTCTTGCTGTATTTTCAAACTGTGCTTTTTGCAGACATTAATTTGAGGAAGGATTTCTGGACTTGATGCCTTGATGCCTATGTCCTTCAATAGGTTCACAGTTTAAAAGTATTGAGGCTAAAAAACTGATTTGCTGTATCARTTTTATTTGCAGTAATGCAATTCCACTGAATCATCTCAGAGTGCATTCATTTAGAGAATCTATTTAAATATTTTATTATGTCTTGACCACCGTACTCATGTTGCACATTGAGATCTTCCTCCTTCTGCATCCACCTTGTGTGGTTTTTAGGAGTCCTCTTCCTTCTGTGGCCTGCTTAAGCCCTCTTCTGGGCACTCACTTTGCCACTTAAATACTCACGAGGCTCAAATACCAGCTCAGCCAGGTCTGTGACCTTCAACATTTCCTGCATCTTGTCTTTCTGTCCACAGAGACCAAAAGYTATTTTTGCCCATCCTGTGAGGCAGGTGGTTCGTGCCCAGGAGGATTCCTGCAGCATCTGTGCACCTACAGGCTCCTTCAGCTGCATCTCTTGAGCCTTTTCCTTGTGCTTTCCCTAGGTGCTGCTAGAGGAGTGAGGAATTTACCAGTACATTCCCCATGGAACAGAAGATAGAGCTGTAAGCTCATCAAGCTGCTGATTGTCTAAGTTGTCTGTTTTTGTCTATTAACTATTTTAATATGCCCAAGTCCTTGAAGGTCTGCACTATCAGGCAATGTGGAGAGGCAACAGAGACAGATGAGTGCCATATTCTTTGTGTATGGGCGCAAAAGTACTCATCATCAGAACTGATTAAGATATGATATTCGATGCATTATTTCCATATAATGACCTCTCAATCATCAGTACTCAAAATGCCTGTGCCACACTTTGAATCCGGACACAATTTTAGCCAACGTGCATGAGTGCAACTCCTTTGCTTGCCTTTTGTAGGTGCCTGCCTCTGCTTCCAGGCATCAGTGCTTCTATGCAGGGCACTGGGGCATCTGTCCTGCTACTCYTGTTGCTCTACAGCCTGGGAGCACATCTTAGCTTGCTTTACAGGAAGAGGCACCTCAGGGGAGTGATTCATCCCACCCCTTTTTGGGCAAGTGRAGGCAATTAATCACCACTTCTTTTCAAATGTTGAAAGAAGGATATACTGTGGTACATGTGATTTAGACAACCCATAAAGGATTATTCTGTATCCAGCTGGGTTTGGAGCACTGGCTCAGTGTTAGCTGTGCTAGAATTGAAGATACCAGAGTGTCTTTGTGCCACACTCCGTCATAGTGCCTTTGGAGCTGGGAGGCAGTGTCAGCTCTGCAGTGGGTCAGCACAAAGRCAGGCACAATGGTTTAGCCAACATATTAAATTTCTATTTGCATGACTAGTAGCCATGTGAGTAGCATCTCAGCCTTTTCCCAAGGATATACAAGAAATCTGTGGGAAGGAATGGATGCAAAGTGGTCTGGTTCCTTAGCCATCCTTCTGAGCTTTTGACCCTGTGAATCTCCYGGACTGGCCATGTTGTTTGCTACAGTCCAATTCCAAATGTGGAAAGACTGGAGRAACACTTCCATGTTTACTTTTTCCTTTTATCAGTAATATGTTGACTAAAGACGATGAAGCTGAAGTATTTATTGAACTGGTATAATTGCTGTAATTTTTTTAATTATCAAGAGCATCCTGAGAGAACTTCTTTTGGTGAATCAAAATAAATGATTAAATATAGAATGCAACGATGTGATATTTCTTTCCAGAAACGTTAGTTGTCCTGATGAAGTTAATTGTATTGTCATATTAAAAAAAAAAAAAAAAAAAAAAAAAAAAAAAAAAAAAAAAAAAACAAAAAAAAAACAAAAAAAAAAAAACAAACCAAAAAAACACAGAATAACCTGCAATCTTCTTCTCTAAACTGTGGGTAAATATTAAAATACAGTCTAATTTCCTGCTATTTTAGGAAAAAAAAAAAAAAAAAGTATAGCCCTGGCCCCTGTTTCCCTTTTTTGCCTTGTGCAGATCACAATAAAATTGCATCTCTTGCTTCAGAATTATGAAGTTTTTAATGAATTTTCTAAATACCTGAATAGATCCAAGACAGTTTCTTTTTGCATACTATTTCAGACCAAGGCAGATTCAAAAACTAAGCCATAGATTTGTTATCTTTGCACAAGTTGCCTACTGAACATTCTGTGGCATCTTCCAGTGTGCCTCATAAACTAAAAAGACACGGAATTATCTCTGCTCTGTTGGAAATAACTGCAAAATTAATAGTTTCATAAATGACTTAGAAAAAGGCATGGGTASTTAGAGCTTCCAAGGATGCTTCTGCCTCTGTCAAAGTGGAGTAGAGCTTTGTCCTTGATTCAACAGAAGCAAAATCAGTCCTAGCATGGTACTCTCTGCTTCAAAACTCAGCCAAAAGTTGGACATGCAACCTACTGTACATGGATGCGGTAAAAAATGGACCAGGTCTTTCCCCAGCACTTGGGGAAATACAGCTGGTGAAGATACCAGTCATGTTTGCTGCTGCCTGGAGAGGCGGCTGCCTGTCCATGTCTGGCCCAGTKTTCACAATCCTGTGCTTGGTATGCCTCAGGATGGTCAGCAGAGCATGGTAGTGACAGCAGAACAGATGATTTTCTTCCAAGAGTTTCATTTCAGTGAGGAAAAAGGATGCCATTATAAGTGTAATTTGGTGCAACTCATCAGGATGGCTTCAGGTGCTYACATATGCATCTGATAGTAGGATGAAAACAAGAAACAGAATGTATTTCTGATGAAATAAATGCAGCACATGACAATTTTGGAAGGGAGAGGCAGTCAGGTGGTTTTGGACTACAGTCAATTGCATGCTTGGCACGCTGGGAGCTTTTGGACATTAAAAGGAAGTTCTGCTTTAGTTCAGCTTGTGCTTGAGCTGGTCATTCATTGCAGGATTTCTTGTACTTTCATCTGCAGCACATAATCCGTATCAGCCAAAGCAAACTTTTTGACAGTTTCTGAGGAAGCTTTGCTTGCCTCCTGCAGACATGAAAGATGCCAAGTGTGTTAAAATATTCAGAGAATTTAGCTACCAAAATATAGCAAGTTTCTGCTTGAATATGTGTGAGCAGAGYTTTGCAGCAAGCCGAGTGTCAGCARYATCACTCCAGAGGAGTGCCAGGCTTGCACGTGGACCCTCCCGCTCACCATTTCCCCACCTTCATCTCCTCTCCCTAGTCCAGTGCTCGATTTCAAAGCACACAAGCACCAGCATGTCTCAGGGAAGTGTTGTGAAAGAGAGAGAGAAGGATTGCAATTAACCTTGTGAGGGTTTTCTCTAATCTCATTTCAGAAACATCTATTATTCAGTGGAAATTTTCTAAAAGACTTCAGCTCAGTGAACTGGTCCAAAATTAAAATTTTTGGGTAGAATGATTAAAGAGCATCAAAACTCAATGTAATGACAAGCAGGATGGTTTTAGGGGGAAAATCCTACACCTTCTTTTATAGATGGTGCCAAGTCAGACCGTGAACTGGAAATCTTTTTCATCCTTAAGTTATTATTGTTTTCAACATTCAAAGGAAACACCCTAAAGATTGCCTATATTGCAAAACATTTTTTCTACTTTTGAAAATTCAAACAGAATTTGCAAATTGCTGTGAAATTGCATTTGGCATTTCTGTGTGTCTTCTCTTGTGAACAATCTTTTTGGTACAAACAGTACTACTGGGAACTRCTCACTTGGTAACCTGTTCTGTTCAACTGCATTCAAATTCTGTAAGAGATGAGATATTCTGCTCTTAATTCATATAGTAAGTGAAGAGAAGAATTTGTTGCTGAAATAAATACAATTTGAAAGCACACATTTTGTTATTTCAAGTATAATATAAAGTGTGCACCGTTCATAGGTAAGGCTTTGTTTTCCTGTTCTACTTAGTAAGTCATTGTAAAACTTTAAGCCATGCAAATTACCGCCAC